TTGTTTTGTTTTTTTCTTTTTTTGTTGTTTTGTTACAACCCCCCTCATTTCATCTTATAACTTTTTGATTTTTGTCCCGGCTCTGCGCCCTTTTTTTTTCCTCGAGAGGTTATCATCTTTATGTAGTCTGTGAAATTAATTCGCTCGCCTTTGAATAGATCGAATAGTGTATGAGATGTCAACGAGATTCAGGTGATCGTGATTTACTACCATCAATAATATTCACTGTATGAGATGCTTAAAAAGAATGATGATTTGGACGAATGTGATTTCGATGCAAACTTTTTCAATACGACTTTCAATATTTGCGTTTATCTATGCAGTTTTTAAGAAAACTTACTTGTAAACTTGCTATGGTAGGCTTGAAAAAAACTTCAGAAACTCATCGAGTCCGTAGGTTGGTTACACGGCAGCATTGAGTAACGCAGTAGAGTGAAATTGAATTGCGCATGTGAAATAAACAACCTCGCCTGGCTAACTAGTTCACTAGTTACTAGCCGGTCCTAAGCCCACACAAAGAGGGAAGGTTGGGCATAGGGCTAGCAACCCTACGCCGTAAAACAAATCTAACCGCTAAACAAACTTCAAACCACAAACAAAATATAAAAAATAAAAACAAACTTATTCCTTGCTGGAATCGGAGAGGCGAAATGACGCCAGTTGGTGAAAGCCTTCAAGAAGCCAATTGGCCGATGTGTCTTCTCTCGTATGAAAGCGAAAGTAAACGTGGGGACATGGAATGTCCGCACCACGTTTGAACCCAGCAGGGCAGCCCAGATTGCAAGGGAGATGAGAAGGTATAACATCGAAGTGCTTGGGATTTGCGAAAGCAGATGGAATGGGAGTGGACTCTCCAAACTATCAACTGGAGAATCAATAATCTACTCCGATGTTGTCACCCAGACGACAACCACCAGCACACTGAGTTCTGGAGTGACTATCATGATGTCCCCAACAGCATTGAAAGCTCTCATACAGTGGGAACCAATCTCCTCCAGCATCAGGATCATGACAGCAAGGTTCAACTCGAAAGGAAGGAAGGTCACAATCATACAACACTACACTATGCACCTACAAATAATGCAGAGCAAGAGAAAAAGGAGGAATTTTACAGACAACTGCAATCAACACTGGACAAGACACCACCTCAGTTGGCGATATCAAAATTTTAATGGGTGACATGAATGCCAAACTGGGAGGGGACAACACAGGAAGAGAACTAACTATGGGTCGAGAGGCACTCGGTGAGGTGATGAACGAGATTGGAGAACTGTTTGCAGAATTCTGTGCATTCAACGATTTGGTGAGTGGAGTCAGGCAGTGTGTTCAGGCACAAAGATATCCACAAAGCGACATGGATTTCACCAGATGGACACACTAAAAATCAAATCGACTTTATCTCAGTCTCAAGAAAATGGAGACGCAGTCTACTTGACACAAGGTCAAGAAGAGGAGCAGATGTAGGTTCATACCACTCACTATCTAGTGCAAGGAACCTTCCAAATCAAGTTAAAAGCCTTCAAGGAAGCTGGTGATAGACCTCAGTTCAAGTACAACACTCGGAAACTGAAGGATGAAACTACAAAGGAGATCTTCAAGGCAGCCATCAAGACAAAATGGGAGATATCGAGGAACATCCCTGAAGAAACCTGTGTGGAACAACACTGGAAGTCTTTGAAAGCTATGTGGAAAGAAACCTGCACAACAGTATTAGGAAGGAAGAAGAAAGAAGACAAGGAATGGATCTCGACGGATACCTGGAAGCTGATAGAGGAGAGGAGGATGGTGAAGCAGAAGATAAACCAGTGCAAGGATGCTCAACGACAAGAGGAACTGAGCACGATGTATGAAACACTGAACAAAGAAGTGAAGAAGAGTGCACGCAAAGACAAAAGACACTTGTACGAAACACTGGCAACTGAAGCGGAACAGGCTGCAGGTAAGAGAGACAGTGATCTGACAACATTGTATCAAATAACCAGGTTGCTATCCGGGAAGAGATCAACACAGATGAAACCAATAAAAGATGATGACGGAAATTTAATTACGAAAGAAGAGAAACAGAGGAAACAATGGGCCGACCACTTCAAGAAGCTCTTGAATCGACCACCACCACCAACCACCTGCACTTCGTCCAGAAATACCACCTGCAGCCGCTGAATTACAAGTGAACATAAATCCTCCAACAAAAATGGAAGTCCTGAACGCCATAAAGCTACTGAAATGCGGGAAAGCAGCAGGACCAGATGGAATACCACCAGAAGCACTGAGAACAGACGCAGAGACAACAGCGGTGGACATGCTCACACCACACCACTATTGCAGAAGGTGTGGAAGGAAGATAAGGTACCTGGCCATTGATTGGAAGAAGGCTTACCTTGTCAAACTGCCGAAGAAGGAAGACCTCAGTGTTTGCAAGAACTGGTGTGGAATCACTCTTCTGTCCACAATAAGTAAAATATTAAGCCGCATCATCCTGGAGAGGCTTAAAGATGCACTGGATTCAAAACTACGACCAGAACAGGCAGGCTTCAGCAAGTACAAATCATGTGCAGACCAAATTGCAACGCCACGCTACGCATCATCATAGAACAGAGCATAGAATGGCAATCAGCTCTCTACCTCAACTTTATCGACTTTGAGAAGGCCTTTGACAGCGTCGACCGAGAAGTAATTTGGAAACTGCTTCATTACTACGGAATACCGCAAACCTTTATCGGCGTCATTCAACAACTATATGGAGACACCACATGACAAGTAATTCACAATGGGAAGCTCAGTGATGCTTTTGAAGTGAAGACAGGAGTGAAACAAGGTTGCCTACTATCCCCATGATATTCCTGATTGTGGTGGACTGGATCATGCAGCAGACAACAGTGGGGAGTGAGAAGAGGGGATACACTGGACTGCAGAAAAGAACCTAGAAGATTTGGATTTCGCCAGTGATGACTTGTGCATGATGTCACATAAACTTGAAGATCTACAGGCAAAAACTAACGAAGTGACAGAAGACGCCAGGCAGCGAAGGGAGACGGGACTTCAAGTGAATATAGAGAAGACAGAGGTGATGACGATACCCAACTAACAGCACCATCACCAACAACAAACTCCAATCATCATCAACGGGAGAGGCTTAAAGGAAGTAACCTCCTTCACCTATCTAGGCAGCACTGTTTCAACTACACGCCGCACAGGCACAGACGGGGATGTCAAAGTCAGCCAGGATCGGAAAATCAAGACAGGCGTTCATTAGCATGAAACCAGTGTGGAGATCTTCTGCACTCAGCATAACGAAAAAGATTCGGATTTTGAACACCAATTCAGTCAAGTCAGTGTTTCTGTATGGTTCAGAGACTTGGCACGTCACGAAAGGGATTTCCAGTAAACTACAGACATTCATCAACAACTGCTTACGCTGCCTCGCTACTGAAGATCAGATGGTCAGAATAGTGAGAATAAGCAACAAGGAGCTCTGGGAACGAACCAACCAAGAACCTATCATGCAACAAATATGCAGGAGGAAGTGGAGATGGATTGGGCATACACTGAGAAGGCGGACTGGGGACATCACGCGTCAGGCCAGTTGCTCGAGTGGAATCCCCATGGGAAGCGACGAGTTGGACGTCCTAGGTGAGGGTGACATGGAGGAGGTCGTGCGAGCAGGAAATGAGAGCTTCTGGGCTGTCGTGGGACCAGGTTCAAAAGATCTCAGAGAACAGAGGACACTGGGGACGTGCTGCTGAAGCCCTATGTTCCACTAGGAACCCAAGAGACTAATAATAATAATAAGATGATGGTAGCGCTATGTAGTGAAATGATAGGAGGAGGTTATTGTAACCGAGCAGTGGTTGTGTGCAAGAACAACGACAACTTTTATTAGGCAAATACATGACATATGTATTTCGATAGCGTAATTAGAAGACATAGTTTATCTGAGCAATGTGATATATTTGCGCAATACATTTCGAACAATCTGATCCCCCACACATTTCCTTGTCAAGTCAATATATATTAAACTGAGGACTGGGAGGAGGATAAATACAACAATTAACACAATAATAGGGGATCAAAATTAAGAAAGATGAGGACAAACAGGAAGTGGCATAGTTGGTCCTAATCTTGGTACGAAAACAAAGTTTACCAAGGTAGGTGTAGTGTAATAACAAACTGCTTCTGTATACATAAAGGTGGTTTTAAATGTGTGTATGGCTATGACTTCCACAAATATCAGAATACATCCCTGACTGTTTCTATATAAAACTTTGAAAGCTGTTTGAACATTAACTTTGTGACCTGTTTCTATGATACGTTTAGCTGTCACGCCACCTACCTTGGTAAAATTTGTTTTTTTACCAACGTCAGGACCAACTGTCACTTCCTATTTGTCCTCATCTTTCCTAATTTTAATCCCCTATTGTGTTAATTGTTGTATTTATCCCCCCCCATCCCAATCCTCTATTTAATATATACTGACTTGACAAGTAAATGTGTGGGAGATCAGATTGTTCGAAATGTACTGCACAAATACACCGTACCGCTCAGATAAATTCCGACTTCTAATTACGCTATCGAAGTTCACTAAAAGGACTGTTTCAAGTATATGTATATATAAAACTCTCAGAAAGTGAAGCCATAAATGAACCAATCAGATTTCTTGTATGAGGTCGAATTTCTCCAATCAGGTTCTTATGTCAGTGCATGCATAAATCATGACCTGAACATGATATGATCCCTATTGGTTGCCTTTTAATTGCTACGTCTCAGAGGTGAAATCTGAATAGCTGGACTGCGAGCCAATAGCTGATTGGCAGCACATTGACCATGAGACTTGAAGGTCATAGGCTTCATCCTTGATAGAGTTATAAGTGTATGGCCTCAGAGGAGTCACATTCTAAAATGAAACAATTTTTCACTTTTCTATGTTTTCAATGATTCCCCGACTGATTTTATTTTATGATGAAATAAACAAAAAAAAATGTCAATAAAGAAATGGAACTTACTAAAATTAATGAATCACTGGTTAGTAAACATGGCATATAATTTGATTTAGAAGACCAATTTCCATATTCTAAGCATTCTTTACTTGCATTTTCTAAATGGAAAAGAAAAAAGAGAGAATTAATGATTTCAAGGAATACATTCAAAGTTCTACTCTATGGTTCAAAGTAATTTCTATAGAAATATCAACATCCACTGATATTTCATCATTATTATTTGTCCTTTGGGTTCCTAACGGAGCATAGGGCTTCAGTAGTACGTCATCATCTCTCCTTCATGTCACACTCGGATAAATAAACTCATCCTTTCCTATTTGACTTCCACTCCAGGATGTGACGTATGATGTCTCCAAACCGTCTTCTCATTGTATTTCCAATCCAATCCAATCCATATCCACAATCTTCTTCTGAATATTTTCTGGGCTATAGCTTCTTACTTCTTCCTTGGTTGGTTCATTGCTAGACCACAATTCCTCCTTGCTTATTCTTTCTCACCTTCTCATCTGATCTTCAGTATCGAGTCAGTGTAGGCGGCAGCTGTTGATGATGTATGTATGGAGTTTGTTGGAAGGAAATACTTTTCATAAGGCGCCAAGTCTCTCAACCATCATCACATAGAAGCACTGACTTACTTGACTGACTTAGAGTTGAATATTCGGATCTTGTTCACGCTTTATGCTAAGTGTAGTGCAGTGCAGTACAGTAGATCTCCACACTGATCTCCACAGATTAATGAAGGCCTGTCTTGCTTTTCCGATGCCGGCTTTGACATCGTCATCTGTGCCCCCCGGTGCCTGTTATTGAAACGATGTTGCCTGTGTATGTAGGTAGGTGAAAGAGTGAACTTCGTTTAGATTTCTCCCTCCCATGCTGGTTGGTGCTTGTTGTTGTTGTTGTTTGGGTATCTTCATCACCTCTGTCTTCTCTAAGTTCACCTGAAGGAAGTCCTGTCTTCGCTGCCTCTTCTGCCGACTTGTTAGTTCCACCGATATTACATTTTGATTGAATTGTAATCTCATTCTAGTCTGTTTATTAGAGATGTTATACAGTATGGAAACAGTATCATTGACTGGATAACATATCAGACACAGTTTATTCTCCATATTCATGTCAGGTAAGTAACTCCACAACTTTCAGACAGTTTATATATAGTCCTTATTTTCTCTGTTCTTCTTTGTGATAACAAGGGTAGTAGAATTTTCCATATATTTTACGTCACCTTGGCAATTCCTGGAGATTTTTCACATTTTCAGCCGTGGATCACTTTCCAAACCGACCTACTTTTTATCTTGTTTTGTTTTTGTACATCCTTTAAATTGTTTCTGACAGTGATAAGCTCAGTAACTTGACAAGGAACTTTGGAAAGCACAGGTAAGTGTCAGTGTGTTGAAACAGTGAAGTATGCAGAAAATCGGGGTGATCTTAAGGGCTAGTTTACATAAGCTTTCTAAAATAACCAAATTAGGTTACTTTATCTCAGTGGAACAAGTGGCTTTTCAGTTACTTGGATAACTTTAAAGCCACCATAGCAAAGATGGAAATAAACAATTAGGTTTCTTTATTTCGCCTGAAAAGTCATATTTTCATAAAATACAGAAATCTGATTGGTTATTCTAGTTGTTGGTAGGGTGGTCCTTAAAATCACTCGGTTATTTTATCGATCGCTGGGGTGACTTTTAGAGTCACTTAGATTGTTATAATCATACGACACTTTGAAGGTTGCACACTAGATGTTACCATTAAAACAGTCTACTTTCTAATGAATTACCGATAAATACATAAATCATGATATATTAATGGTTAAGTAAATATTCTACTTAGTATGATCTCGATCAAGAATAGTGGATTCCTGTTCGATGAATCGATTACTTACAAACCTCTATATTAAACCACCAATGTAAAAAAGAAGGAAAGTTTTTACTTCAAAATGCTTAAACTACTGAAATAATCTTTTGACAGTATTTATCATTGAAAGACGATGCCTGTTGATTTGTTACAGTATCACATTTTTCGGTAACAACTAAAAACTATCATAAATTATTAGCGCCAGTTTTCACAGTGAAATATCTTAGTTGAAGAATAAACAATCAAGATGTTAAGACTTTGAAACCATTCAGTTTCTGTAACATTCTGGAGCAGGCTGGCTGGATTCATGAAGTATAAATCATGTGCCGATCAAATAGCAACGCGATGCATCATCACAGAACAGAGCATAGAATGACAGTCAACTCTAAATCGATTTTGAAAAGGCCTTCAACAGCGTTGACTGAGTAGTAATTTGGAAACTGCTTCAACACTATGGTTTCAATGCCACAAATCTTCATCAACTTCATTCAACAACTATATAAAGACGTCACATGTTAAATGATTCACAATGGAAAGCTGAGTGACACCTTTGAAGATAGGAGTAAGACAAGGCTGTCTACTATCACCAATTATCTTCCTGATTGTGGTCGACTGGATCATGCAGCAAAGCGTGAGCAGCTGTGAGAAGATGGACATACGCTGACTGCACCGATGAAAATAGCCTAGAAGATTTGGATTTCGCCAATTATTCATGTTTAATGTGGCACAAACTCGAAGATGTACGGGCAAAAACTAACAAGCCGACAGAAGAGGGAAGACAGTGAAGACGGCACTTTCTTCGGGTGAATGTAGAGAAGACCAAGGTGATGAAGATACCCAACCAACAACAAGAAGCATAAATCATCATGAACGGGAGAAATCTAAAGGAAATAGCCTCTTTCACCTACCTACCTAGGCAGCATCATTTCAACTACAGGTGGCGGTCATGGCAGCACCAACGAGGACGCTAAAGCCAGTATTGAAAAGACAACAAGATAGGCCTTCATTAATCTGCAGCCAGCGTGCAGATCTGTTGCACTTAGCATAAACAACAAGATCCGGATTTTCAACACCAACGTCAAATCAGTGCTTCTATATGGTTCAGAAACTTGGTGCGTCGCGAAAAGCATCTCCAACAAACTGTAGACATTCATCAACAGCTGCCTACGCTGGCTGGATACTGAAGATCAGATGAGGAGGCAAGAAAGAATGAGGAACAAGGAACTCTGGAAACGAACCAACCAAAAACCTATTGCCTAACATATATGCAGAAGAAAATGGAGAAGGCCGATTGGGAACATCACGCTCCAGGCCCTTGAGTGGAACTTATATGGAAAGAGACGAATTGGGCGTCCGAGGCAAGGGTAATATGGAGGAGATGATGTGAGGCAGAAATGAAAGCTTCTGGGCAGTGACGGAGCCAGGTTCAAAAGACTTCAGTGAACAGAGTGCAATAGAAACGTGCTATTGAAGCTCTGTGTTCCACTAGGAACCCAAGGGATAAATAATAATCAATAATAACATTCCAAGGTTGAACTGCCGTCATTGTTGAGCGTCTTTGAAATGACTTTGAGTTCACCAATAGGGACAGTTGTTTCTTTTTATCTCGAATGCAAAATTGAAACACAATTAGAGTATGTAGACTCTCATATTTCGTATGAACTTCTTTAGCCGCATACACAGATGGATAATCACTATAGCAAATGGAAATCAATGTCATAGAATTTCAGTTAGTGTTCAATGATCATAAAAGAATATTCCAATTCACAGTAGAAAGTTATTGGAAGTAGTAAAATTCAGTGAAACTAAAGAAATGTTATGTTGTGGTTGTTCTCCGATACTTGAAATAAAATTTGACAAAATGATAAGCGAGTCAAAGAGATGATAGTGAGAGTAACAATTACAGTTATGCACTAATAGTGGCGTCTTTTTGAATGCATAATTCATGTCAAACTCATCGGATGACATTGACCTTAGTCATTTGAAGTAGACATGAAGTTCTACCATGAGCGATTTCGATATGCTGATCGAGTATTCTGTATCAAGTAACTGACACGCTATTCATAGCGTAAATTGAAGCTAAACCTCTTTAGTGCAGACTCCTGGTTACATTAAAGATCATTTTGATGCATAACTGCTTCATCGTTCTTCTCTTGTATTTACAGCCGCATACACAAGCGGACTCATATTATTATTATTATTAGTCCCTTGGGTTCCTAGTGGAACATAGGGCTTCAGTAGCACGTCTACAGTGACCTCTGTTCTCTGAGATCTTTTGAACCTGGTTCCACGACAGCCCACAACCTCTCATTTCCTCCTCGCACGATCTCCTCCATGTCACCCTCACCTCGGACGTCCAACTCGTCGCTTCCCCTAAGGGTTCTACTCAACAGCCTGGCCTGAGGCGTGATGTCCCCAGTCCGCCTTCTCAGTGTATGCCCAATCCACCTCCACTTCCTTCCACTGCATATTTGTTGAGCGATAGGCTCTTGGTTGGTTCGTTACCCGGCCACAGTTCCTTCTTGCTCATTCTTATTATTCTGGCCATCTGATCTTCAGTAGCGAGGCAGCGTAAGCAGTTGTTGATGAATGTCTGTAGTTTATTGGAAATCCCTTTCGTAACGCGCCAAGTCTCTGAACCATACAGAAACACTGACTTGACTAATTGGTGTTCAAAATCCGAATCTTTTTCATGATGCTGAGTGCAGAAGATCTCCACACTGGTTTCATGCTAATGAACGCCTGTCTTGATTTTCCGATCCTGGCTGACTTTGACATCCCCGTCTGTGCCTGTGCGGCGTGTAGTTGAAACAGTGCTGCCTAGGATGGTAGGTGAAGGAGGTTACTTCCTTTAAGCTTCTCCCGTTGATGATGATTGGAGTTTGTTGTTGGTGATGGTGCTGTTAGTTGGGTATCGTCATCACCTCTGTCTTCTCTATATTCACTTGAAGTCCCGTCTCCCTTCGCTGCCTGGCGTCTTCTGTCACTTCGTTAGTTTTTGCCTGTAGATCTTCAAGTTTATGTGACATCATGCACAAGTCATCGGCGAAATCCAAATCTTCTAGGTTCTTTTCCGCAGTCCAACCAGCGTATCCCCCTCTTCTCACAGCTCCCCACTGTTTGTTGCATGATCCAGAGTTAATTATATACGAGTAAAACTGGGGCGCTGTTTATTGGATGTGTTACACAGTGATCAAGGATTAATTACTCGGTAAATTTCCGAACAAAATTTATTGTCTGTATATTATAT